CTCTCTTTCTGATCTGTTTGTTGTAACATATCAGCCCTGCGTACGAGAAAGTGGTGACTGGAGAAGGCATGCCGCTGCCACAGGATCCATCCCAGAGAGGAAACCTCATCATGGCGTTTGACATTCAGTTTCCTRKGTCACTMTCCTCTGCCAGCAAGCKTCTGATCAAACAAGCTCTAGGTTTGCARCATTTCTAACATATTWATTACACATGTTGCGCTCCTACAARCAGTAATGGCTTTTGAAATATTATAATAAAAGCTGATTACATSTAAAAGGCAGGTGTGGTATAGTAGCAGCCTTTCAGATAGACATCATTGCCTACAGTGAAGCCATATTGCTGTTATTTGCTGCCATCATGGCTCGTTTCAGCTGCTCATAAGTAACAAACATCAYCACATTCCAGGAGCCCAGCCGTAAGAATGACGGCATGAACCTAAAGAGAGAATAGAACAAGAAAAACATTCATTCAATTTGTTTTACAGCGATACAAAGACTAATTTAGTTTGATCTAATCTCTGCAAGAATTACGGACCCCTTATAAAAAGCAAGTGGCCCCTCTTTGGTCATCATGGCAGCAGCACAATTGAGAACGCTGCCGTACTGGMCCGGAGCAGAGTTCATGTACCTCGTCTTGACCACATCGACAGGAGAGGCGATCACAGTCGTGCAYAACCCGGCACYGAAGGCCGATACGAAGTGGCAAGGCAGGTTATCTGTGGAGCACATGCTGGATGTTACAGCTTCAAACTGAAACACTGCATCTTATGGTCCTGTCACACTGTAACGTTTTAGACAACTCAAGATGTCTACACTTAAAATGCAATTTAAAAACTGTAGTGGCAGCCTCTTTTAAAGTAAATACTGTAATATAATTAGATCAAATAAATAACCTACCTGGGTAAGTCATGAGTTGTTTAAACTGTTATAGTGTGACAGGACCTTCACTGAATCTGAGCCTCTTTTACCTGTCAAGGGAGTGGACTTGAGCAGCAGATCCTTAATGAAGTCATACGTCACCAGTTCTGTGCAGTTAACAATGGCATTGCGTGCAATGTTTGGTGCTGTTCCTGGGTTAAAGGGTTAATATTAACAAAAGCATTCAGGACACATACTTGTTTTTTTAAAAATACCAAATTACCTTTCCAGAGCCCTCGAATCCCTTCTTCCCTACCGATGGTCTTGTAAGCATCAATGGTGCCACAGTAGTGTCTAGCGTGCTCACCGGATATGGCCTGAGCCTGAAAACGAACCTTCACCACGTCCGTGGGCTGAGCAAAAGCAACAGCCATGGCTCCAGTGGTGCACCCTGCAAGCAGCCGACTACCAATGCCAGCATCTGAGCCAGTGAAGAAGAAGACGATGTCAGACGTGAATTACGGTTCAATAAATGAAATTATTTTATAGAAAATCTACTTACGGTCTGTGCCTCGGGTGTAGAACTGTTTAACAGAGTCATATAAACCGATACGAACAGAGGCGAAGCTCATTTGTCTCTGGAGTCCGGCCACCAGTCCACTGTAGAGACTCAGAGGTCCCTCCGTGCGCACCATGGAGATGATGGTGCCAAACACGCCACGATACCTCACCGAACTCGCTGCGCTGCTCTCTCCCTGGATCTTTGTGAAATAAACAAAGCACATGGGATAGATCTAAACTGTAATGTGTTAAATGTGATTGGAGGTGAAATKTTGCACATAAAGCCAGTTCAGCCAAACTAAGCTTTAATTTACCTGCAGCCTCACTTTAGCCGTRTCCAGCGGAAACGTGAGCAGGTCAGCAACGCAGGCTGCAGCTCCTGCTCCCACAAACTTYACCGCTGCTGACGGAGGCACATCTGCAGGTCCAAATCCAACCATTTCTAAAATCCGTTTGTTCAAAACAAAGATCCAGAAGTGACTTTTTTAAAGGACTGGAAGCTCCTCCAAAATCTGAAATAAAAAACCAACAAATTAGTTCAAAGGTTGCTGTATTTTATATAAAAATGTATTTGCATTATAGATCTTATTA